AGGCTATTGACCATACAATATTGTTAGATAAGTGTGTAGGAGAGTTTATTGTTTCTTGAACAGACGAATATGTTTTTCTCATTATATCACTGAATGACACCTATAGGAATTTCAAATAGACTATGCACTTCTTCGTGGTTGTAGACATATCTTGTTTATAAGTACTTAGTTCCAGGTTTTCTTGTCATTCTGCTCCAGTTATTCAACACCAAATACACTGCAATACAACTTCTACTTACCTAAACTAAAATGAGATGCCGTAAGTAATACGGACTAGAATATGAGATCACTTATTATCAGAGATAACCAGACAGTTGGCTTTGAGTTTCTTGTATATGTAGGAGAAATTTATTTAAAAACGTACTAAAGCATTACTACATATATTCACTACATTTCTCAGGATGCTGTCATGTCGAAATCCACAAAATAAAGATGTAAATGATCAGTCTTTACCTTATTAACAAAAAAGAGTTTCATATAAAGGTATACTCTAAATACCGGAAAATGGTTTTCTAATTCACTACACTTTATAAAATACAAACGGCATGCAAATGCAGGATAACTAGTTGGAAATGGGGGGTCGAATTTCGCCAAAAGGATGATAAACTCTATCAGACAGCAGTTAAATTGTCTTTATGACTCTTGTGAATTATGTTGGAGTGTGTTCTAGGAAGTGGAAAGCTGTCTAGTAGACAGTATGCAGTCAACAGCTCTTAATTAACATCATATCACCATTGAGTTATTCTTTATCCTTTTCTTCTGTCACATTTTTCAGCTGAATCATTCATTTTATGAACATGCTTTGTTTGTAAAAATACTGATTTTTTTGTGAATTGCTGGATTTTGAATCCGGCTGCGGTCTAAATTTGGACCTCGTAGCTCAGTTGGTAGAGCATCTGGCCGGAAACCCGGTAGTCGCTGGTTCTTATCCGGTCACTATTCAAATTTTTATCTCACCTTCAACCATCACCCAGCATGGACTTAGAATTGACGGTTAGATGTATATTTTCTCATGAAATTCATATTTATCAACAATTTCTGTCTGGATGGTAACTATCTGAACGCCCTAGATGCATGGATAACAGGATATGGAAATGCTAATCAACTAGCCAAATGTTTACAGGAAGGTAGATTACCCTGCATAAACCACTGCATATATTCAAAAGCTACAAACGTGATAACACGCTGATGTTATCTATTCACCAGGTAGGAAATAACCCACCCAAAGTAACAGTTGTAATTGGATTATCAGATATTCGCTGAATAAGTAGTATGGCGTTGCTTTTCAATCCTATTCGAGGCTTCCAAATTCATGTTTAGATGAGGGATTTGTTGTGATTTAAAATTCATCTTGGTAAGCTTTTATAAGTGAGAGTATTCATGGAATTGTGGGATTAGTATTAACAGTCACTTGTGATCAACTAGAATTCCTGTCCTTCTGGATGAATAATCGTGTTTTTTACAAATTATGAGTGATACAGTTAATCTGTACACATATTACGCTCTTGAACTAACTTCAATGAAGTGATGGAAAAGATTTATAGCTCAGGATGAGGATGATTGTGGTTCAGTGTTCTCTGAGCTTTGATATTTTGTCGTGGACGTTTCGTCACCAGGCTTGGTGGCATCCTTAGTGCTAACTCATAAAGAAGAATTCTTAACTAAAGCTCAGAGAAAACCAAAAGGTTTTTGGTTATTTGATTATTTGGTATTTTGATTATTTTAACGACTAAATGCTTACATGAGGAGTGGTGATGTAAGAACAGCTTGATAGAGAAAAATGGGTATCAGTTGTTGTACGGTGGTTTGTTGGAAAATGGTTGCTTCAAAGGCACTTTTCATTGCGTATTGACAGTAGCTGAAGTATTAATAAAAATCAAGTGCCCGGCTGAGGTACGGTTCATTGACTTATGCATTTGACTCTCACTCAGTAGTTTGTGAGTTCGAAAACTGTTCCACCCACGAAGGTTAGGCCAGCCAGGTAGCTCTCACACAATGGGTGTCGCTCAGTGTCGAGTGAACAAATGTGCAAAAAGTTGCTGACAGTATTTCGATTAGATTCCGCCAGTGTTTTTGTTCACTTTCATCAATAGTGTAGACTGAGGACTTCATTATTTAATTATCGATGCTTCAACCTTAATGATCATGGCTTTAATTATCTTAAACAAAGTCTGGGATGCAATGCAAAACCGTTTATTTTACTGGTAAACTTTCTTGTAATGGTATTCAGCTTAGTTTATTCTTTGCACATAACATCTCTCTCCTTGAGGTAGAACCAGCTGAATTCGAAATATGATCACCAGAATAGCTGGTTAGGCTTTTCATTCATTAGCGGTTTTCCAGCATTATGTATGAATTCTCTTTGTCGGGGTAAAAATGTCTTCTATTGTTCATTGAAAGCACTGAAATCTTAAGCTGTAGCTGTCAACAAATTTCCCTGTAACCTGCAGGTAATTTGTTGTCAGGGCATGTGAAGTAGGGTGTGCGTTAGTTCGATGTTAATAGTTAACTCATCGAACATTAGAGTTCAGAAAAAGAAAGAGAAAAATGTGTATAATTACCTCTACAGGCATGATGAATGAGCTTGTATTGCATAAATAAGATAATCGAATATCAGCTATTATTTTAAACAAGGTAACAAGACAATCTGTAGGTCGAAAATTAAAATATAATGAGAAAGGTTTCAAATACTTATACTGAGGTATCCGACGCTTAGTTGAATGATTTTAAAAGCCAACCTAACAGCTACTGAACGAGCCATTTTGAGTTCAGTATGGTATGGAAAAATAACACTCCAATCAAAATAAGGAAATCTAATTGGCTATTTCGGATGTTGCTACGGTGGCCTTTAAAGTTACTCATCAGACTTGATGGCGCGTTTTTTTCCCGCTTTTATTTATCAGCACAGCAGTGAACAGCCAAACAACGCAAATATTAACTAGTTTTGTTAACCTGATTGGTGAACCAGGGTCAGGATTGACTTTAGTAAAGGCCACCCTAATGGCCGCTGGAGTAATCAATTATGTTTCTTTATTCTATGAAAAACTGCCTTCGCAGTCAAAATACTGAGACCTAGTTGGTTATTCCAACATTTGCTAGGGCGGCCTTTGCAATCACTCTCAGTCAGTGTGGAGACTTTAAGGGACACCCTAACAACTGCCGTAAAGTCCAATCATCTTGCGGCATTTTGGCTGAGAAGATAATCTTTTGCAGATCAGAGAAATGTGGTTGGTTGGTTCATCAGTTGCTAAGATGGTCTTCAAAGTAAGCATGGATATCTAAGCCTCTTCCACTCAGTACTTATTCAGCAAGGATATGCAGGATTTATTTTATTGCGTCCAATTAAAAGGCAGTATATTTGTTGGAACACGAAAATGTTGAGCAGAGTTTACAGGAATTCAAGGGCGACTTTACAGGCAACCCTAGCAGCTGATGAGATAGCCAACTGGATTTCTTTATTTTACGAAAAACAACTACCTTCTCAACTGAAATATCAAAGCCGAATTGGTTGTTTCAGTAGTTGATAGGGTGGCCCTTAAAGTCATTCGAAGTTTGTGACGATTTATTGGTTTTAAGTAGGTAATCATCATGGACTGAAGCGGAATGATTTTGCCTAGTTCACTTCTTCACCTAGGGTCTTTTTGACCCTAATATTATGCTTTTATAGAAGTCATTCCTGCCACCCTTCATGGGTCAACTATGTTATATTCCATTTTACGGTGACTCCATATCTATCAGGAACCCCCCCCCCGTCCACCTCTCTAAATCCAAGCTAATAATCAGTTTGCTTTAATTAACTGATATTCTGTACAGTTGTGAATCAAAGAGAGAACGCATGAATCCCGTTATCCTACATTGTCCGTTTTGATAAACTTTGCTCCACAATAATAAATTGATTGTATTCAAAACTAATCTATGGAAATATAAACCAGTGATGTGGAAATCTTTGGTCACATACTCTTCATGACCTAATAAATCTCTAGGATACGATTACATCATTGCTAGTATGAACTGGTTGAGTGGAGCCTGAGAATTCATGCGTTCATTCGTATTGATGATCATTTATTTTTCGCCTTAACTAAGGTGAATTTAGTCAACAAGTTTTGTTACAATAGTAGACTATTAGGATCACACACAAACACAATCTAGGATAAAGTGATTATTCCCTTTTTTGTGGAATAAACTGAAAGTGATCAGTATGGATGCATCACCGATACATAGTAGATGTACTTTATTCTCATTGGTGTAATCGCTGATAACTGCAAAATGGTGAACACGGTGACCTTTAGTTTTCTTGTTTATGATAAATCAAGTGTGTTCACACTAGTCTCCTGCTGTTAACGATATCAAGTCTGCAGCTTATGATAAATACTCAGTCATTAATAAACAGTAATTGTGTGTGACTAATCAACCATATAGAATTGAATTTTCGTCACTGTTGTTACTCACATACTTAAGGACTTGTAGATTACCTGATAAGATCTGAGGTAATTATTTGTACAGTGGGTAAGATAGGGATTTTTGTAATGGTTGCACTACTGTGTCATTGGCACATAATGACCTAACCAATAAGGTAAGATGACGTTTTGCAACCCAGTCGACCAATCCAGAACACGGATGTTGTAAACCATTTAAAGAGTAGACCGAAAAGTAGTCTAATCCCACATAAAAAGTGCATCCATAAGCAGTTGTATTATGCTTTCTTTACAAATTAGCTAATCACATAGAATGCAGTCGAGAGTTACAACCGTCAATGAACATAATGCATGTACATTAGCGACAATGCAAAACAACAAACCGACATTTGATGCTACATCGTACAATGTATTGTCATTGAATTCAACTTATCCTGTAATAATTACGAATTACAAATAGACTTCACTATCAACCAAATCGAATGTATCTGTGAAGTGCTTTTTACCAATCGAAAAACTGATCAATTGAAATCATTTCTCTTCAGAATATCTAAAAATCCAGTATATTATACTAGTGAAGTTATTATGAAGTGTAGAGCATTGATTTTATTCATCGATGAACAATTTACTGATCTATTTAAAATTTTGAAAAGTTTCCCATTTAGTTTTAATAATCATCATGAAATGCAAAGTTTATGGTATCAAGCACATTATAGACAGTTGGAAAAATCTCGTGGTCATCTGTTGAATGCTGTTGGCAAGTATCGTTTACGTAAAAGATTCCCACCGCCTAGAACAATATGGGATGGTGATGAAGTGACTTATTATTTTAAAGATAAGTCAAGAAATTATTTAACTGAACAATTTGAAAATAATCCATACCCGTCTATTGTTGAAAAACAAATGTTGGCGAAGAACACAGGACTCACGTTAACGCAAGTATCTAATTGGTTTAAGAATCGAAGACAACGTGATAGACTGCTCAATAATATTAACAATAAGGTGAAATGGTAAGTAATGCTTACTTATCTTATCACTTCTATGATATCTTTATTGTTCTAGCAAACTGATGTTGTTTGAGTAATAAAGTTGAATAATACGAAGTGTCTGACAGTTGTTATGCCCAAATTTGCAGTTCCTTAGAAAAGCATATACTAGAATGATATTATATCTTAGTGTCAGAGGACTATTCAGGCAGGTCCCGTAACGAATATATGAAAGCTGAAAATGGTGTTGGTATCCAGTCTCCAATACACGTATGGTTTCAATCAATTTAGTTTTTATTTCCATTGAAGAAGTGGATCTGTGGCTCAGAGATTTAGGGGATTGACTATCAACTGTTCGACTACCGGTTCCAGCCCTGCCCCACCTACCGGCGTTTGGGCGTTTGGGTATTATTAGCCCTCACATAACAGGTGTGGCTTATTGCCTACTGCATGGATGTACACAAGGTAACTGAGTGTGTTTCTCTCGTTTCTGCATTGAAGAATGGACTAGAGTATCTACTATTCTATTTCTGATAGTATGAATGACAACTTTGCAGTATAATAATACTGGTCCATGAGGACGATATTGGAATGCTTATCGGGACGAACCATTCCTATTGAATCGCTTAGGCATAACATGTCTATAATGAAGTTCAAATGCTTATAATTCGGCCATTAAATGGGCAGAATATGCGTACTCGTGATAGTTTGAAGAGTAGGAAAAAAGTCACCCTATACTGTCTAGTTTTTAGCAGCTCGTTTAGAATATCTCAGTTCATAACAGTAGCTGTCTACGAATATATGAAGTTCGTGGCACTAGTTACCCATTAAAGCAGTTAACCTGGAATATGAAGACTCCACGAATGGAGGCAACCAAATTAGAGATCATCTACAGGTTGTATACCTTGAATGTTTTTTCTAGGCTGTAACTTAATCTCACTGTGGTTTTAGAATAGTGTAACATAAGTGTTTACAGTGTGCATATCTACTTATTACACAGTTAGCAATGCCAGTCGTCTGCACGCTGAAGTTGCTCTCTAATTATTCATGACAAGAAACTAAGTTACATGTGAGCCCATAATTCACTGGTTGGAAATCAAGAACCTACACTATTTAGTAAGCCTGTGAATTTATTTATGTTAAATTACCAGTCTACTCTATCAAGTGTAAGTAAAAACTTCTTTACTAAAAGGTCTACGAAAGTGGAAAGTTAAGTGTTCATTACGACTTGGAAATTACCGCTCTCTGAGAATTTACTGCTCTTATAGCCATCAGTCATTTGATTTTATTCTCTAATTAATGAGAACAGTAGGTCATTTTACAGCTAAAATTATTTCTTTAGTCGTGATGATTACTGTACTGTTCAATGGGCGTTTCGTGCTACCTGGCACTTGTAAGATGGATGTATACACACCTACTAATGCGATAGTGTCCTGAAATGAACTAGGGGCTAAGCATTTTGTGCTCTAAGGCCTTTTGTACCATGCTACTGAGTCACCACAACAGTGTGCATATGTTTTTACAACTGATAATCCGTCTCGTTGTCGTCAAACTGATTTAATTCCCTTTAATGGTAAAATGGTGATCAAATAATGTTAAATGGAAAACCAAGCATATATACGCGATCATGAGTAACTGTTTGTCAATCACTGCTCAAAGCACAATGTAACCTGACGTTTGCCAACTTAAATTGATCAACACCCTGAAAAGAGAATTCACATGTTTTCTGATATCAGGCAGTGAAGACAGTCTGTAATGTTCCGTAACTGGACCGGAGCTATTATCCATTTCGCTCTGTGGAATATTTACTCGTCATTGGGTACACTGCCTCGTTCCTAGTCGGGTATTTTCTAACAGATACTCTGTTGATACTGAAGCCAGATTCACCATCCATATTATGTAAATCCCCATCTCTGTTTTATACATTTTCTAAATCAATAGTTTTCCAGCCAATAACTGTGATCAGTACATCTCTATGTGGGTATTGACACAATTCTTCCTAATTGTGTTTTCAGTAGACTTGCTCAGCGAAATATTTGTGATGATACCCTTTACCAAACTTGTGATCGGATTATTAAGAAATCACCAAAGTATTCTCACTAGATCATGACCTCATGTTGACTTTTTAACCTTAATCACCTTGTGATTCATTGACCCACTGCCATTGATGGACATATATTTTCGTTTAAGCTGTAGATACGAATTTACGGTCTCTGAAACTGGTTCCTCAGTTAGAAATCAGCCAATGGAATTTGTTCATCGGCTATGTTGGTTTTCTTATTCTAAATGTATATCAAATTGAGGCATCAAATATATTACAGATTTTGATCTTCATTAGTGCACACACAAGAGTTCAGTGTAAATACCAAAGTGAGTTCATCTTATCGAATTCAATGTAATACTCGAGTTTAGAAAAGCTTCATACCGTTGCTCTAAGATAGCATATTCGTTATAAAACTAGGGGACACTTCTTATGATGCAGAAGAGTAAAAATCAGACCCTGGTATTTAGTGTTCTTCCATCTGAATGACTCAATTGTAAAACTTTCATTATCAATCTAGGCAACATTGTCAGCGTCAAATTTAAAAGCCTCAGTATATATATATATATATATATATATATATATACTGTAGTGTCACTACTGCCACTGCTATTCAGTTGGTTGATGTAATTAGATATTTCATTTACTCTCTTTCTCTTATGGAATGATTTAGGTTTCAGTTGTATATCAGTTATCGAAAATGTACCATCTGGAATAACTTCTTCTACGTATGTCTGTAGACAATTTCCATCGAATCCTAGAGTAGGTGTAAATCTAGAACTCTCTAATATTCAAACCATTTTAATTTGGGTCATTGAATTAAAACTAAGATTCAGCTTTTATCAACTGCTAACTTACTGTGAATACTTCATGTTATTGCCTCACCATAGTTCTAAAAGTTGATTTCCGTTCTTCAATCGTATGACAGATTAAAACAGTGAATTGATGTTATATGCCTTTGATTTGATTTGAACTTTTAATGAAGGCTGTTTTGTAGATAAAAGTATTTCGGAAACCTTGACAACTATTCAATTAGAAGGAAAAGATTATACTAGATACTTTTTCCAACAGTTTTCGATGAATGTGCTTTTAGAGAATATAGTATGTAGTATGTTGCCAAGGTTACGAGCGAAAGTAGATGGAAGGATATCTTTCACTTACTTTAATGGAACTGAAAGCAAAGGGTGAGGAGAAAACTTTACACTAGACTTCACAATTCGTGTACAGGTTTACTTTAATACTCTGTGCGTGTTTTCTGGAGTTCATCTGTTTCCACAGAGGTGATTATTTCCGTCTTATTCAGTTTCTAAAAAAAATCTTGAATCTAGTCATTAGTTATAGTGCTATTTACTAATTCAGACTAAAAAAATTTAAGGCATATTTGGTTAACTGTCGTTATCTGCACACAGGTAGCTGAGATAGCTAACAAAAAAGTAAGAATGAGGCCTGTAGATCAAACAGTTTCATGTATTCTATAAAATGCTTATCAAGTTAAAGATGTGACGGCTCTGGCGGGGTCATGAGTGCTCACTGCTGAGGAGTCCCATACTAGGACGAAACAGCTGCCCAGTGCTCCCAGGTTTCCAACGTTTCTCCAGCTGATGTCAGTCCATGATGAATACCAACCTGAAATCGATAAATAAATCCTTGCAAACCTCAGAATTGAACTAGAATTATACATTGAAGAATGAACTAACTGGTCACTGGAACGAAATTTTTAGTCGACAATGGGAAATGAATCACATAAAAAAGCATAAAATAAAAAGTACTACTAAGCACAATTTTAGTAGTTCAGAAATCCAATTCGTATTCTTTTACGAAGATACAGGCAAAATAATAAGTAAAATAAGTTTTCTCACAAACAATACATGCTAAGTAATACTGTTCTACCTTGGGATGCATATGATAAACAAATGAACATAAGGGTTGGGTTGCATGCAGCCAGTCAACATGGGACATGGCACTACCACAGAACGGTCCGAGTCGCTACACCTCAGATCACCACATCAAAGTGGGAGACATTCAGATGAAAGGCAGGGAAGAAAGTAATCAAAAGTTGTAAAAAGCTATTGAAAGCCAACAAGAAGGAACGAAATAGTGAAGAAATTCGGTATGATGATTAAGAGGAAGATAATATGTAGATGTAAGTGTGTCACTTTGACTGACTTTGAACCATGTCGGCTGAATTTCCTTATCTTTATCTTTCACCTCACTATCTTTCTACTTGATGTACTGATATGAGCTGTGGCAACTCGGTCGGTTACGCAGTAATGCCTGGTTCTATGTTATTAATGATGATGATGTCGGCTGGAGTTTCCAACCGCCAGTTTCGGTTGTCATGCCGACCCCAAGCAGGAAGTCCATATTTCCCTATACAGCTAGAACTAAAAGCTAGAGACTTCATGAAGTGATATCACGTTTTGGTTTTGCTGGCCTCTGAATCTTTTCCAACTCGCATATACTTCAGCTAACATTACATTCTGTGACAAGCGGTGAGTAGGCGTGCGTAACATATGTCCCTGCCACCTGATTTGATGAAGATACATAACTCCTTTCCCGTTAGCGCCAGAACTTTGCTCTTGACTTTTACGGCATTTATGTGGTAAAATCACAACACGGCATTTGCTATGAAGGCAACCCTGATTGAACACCGGAAGGCGTCTCATATTCTCTACTTCATTAGCTATGTTTCACAGTTATATCGTGGGAAAGAAAGAACTACTGAGCAGTGCACTTGGCCCTTAATATGTAATCGAATATCAGGCCGACACTATAGATTGTATAAGTTGGCATAAAGCAACGGGCTCTTATATATCCGTGCATAGATTTCGTCAGTAAATGGTCCATTAGGGCTGAACTGACTTCCTAAATAGTTGAAGTGGTTGACTCGCGCTATCACAGCACACGTCGATGGCGTGGTATGTCAAAGTTTTGTTTAGCGTAGCTTGTTGTTTGGTTTGATGGGGGGTTTGGAGATTGATAGTCCCACTCTGTAGTCGAGTGTAGTTTCTGGAGAATTAAGATACAGTTCCGCCAACGCAAGTTGTTATGAATGGTTGCAGAGTTGGAAGTAACTGAAGATGACGTTTTGGGATGCAGCCCTCAGTTATTTTATAAGTAAATCGGTGGCTTGTTTACTAATAATTTTAATGGAACATTTCCCTTGGTTAACAACGGAATCCCAAATCCTAAGAGGTCTCGTAGAAAAAAAATTTGACAAATTAAGTGAAACAGTTTAAGGACAACCTTTCTGAAACAGCTCAATGGACGTCATTTATGTATTCTAAGTGAACACAGAAGCGATGACACTACACTTAATCTTGGGTGATTCAAACCTGTAAGAAACCGATAATTTTTTACAATTAACGCCTTAGCATACATTCTAGAGAGGGAGGAGAAAGAGCTGTGGTAGTGCGGTATGTGAACGATTACGGGATTATGATATGGAGTCAAGAATAGATTAAACAAGTTTTTCTAAAGTATATTGAGTCGATTTAAGCCTGCTTAACCCTTTAGTATGATAGGCAAGACACCCGATTGCATAAAATATAAAGTCAGCGTGATTGCTTACTGCAGAATGTGATCTACCAAACAAACTAGGATGTCTATCTAACTAGTATATTTCAGGTGACTATCATAGACACTTAACTATTTTTTATAGCCTACTTTTCAAACCTTTAAGCTAATTCAGTTCCCAATTATGTACACATGACGTAATAATTCTGAAGTTGGATAAGCTGTATTATCTAATATGACTGTATATTCATCAGTTTATTCTGCTATGCATATCTTCATTTGGTTTTACATGCAACTGGTCGAACAAGCATATTCTCTTTAAAAATATTTATTTAGCTTTCATCAGTTTCCAGTAACATCCGTGGTGAAATAGAATAAAAGAAAGATAAGTGAGACATTTTAATCTGCTTCTCTAACTTCATTCTTGTAAACGAAACCACAGCATAATGATGTACTCCTTCATGGTTTTTTCTGTCTCTATGAAAAATCTCTAGACGATATATACTTAGGAAGCAAATTATTTATTTATCTAACATCTACTCTTAATATTATCATATATGTTTTCATATTTTGTTATCGTTGTTTTGAAATTATCTAAGCTTTTCTAGTTTGGCCTGTTGAAATATAGTCTTTTTGTTGTCATTATATCTCACTAGATCAAATCATATACTGTCAAAACAAAAAGTGTTGTTACAAAAAGTAGTATTCCAGGTATTAGTAATACTACTAGGAAGCTAATGAGTAGTGAAATGTGTTTTACATAACATATAATGACACATTCATAACTATACACATAATTATGGTTCTGAATCATGAACAAAATTGGTTCATATCTCTATCCTCTCCATGGCATAAGTTTAGACTTACAAGTAAGAATTTTCATCGTAATACCTGATTTCATCAGAGTGCACCTATTTTTCTGTTATGATAGCATCAAAAAAATTTTTTTTTTACTATAGAGCACCATGTTATTTTTGATCACAAGTAATAATTTTGATCAACAATGTTACCGATGCTAGACAAATCATTGATGGTTGAGTCATTTGGCGTTAATCACGTCATTTCAACCATGACAAATTATTCATTGACTCTTTAAGGTTTTTAAGATATTCACTGAATACTTCAAACTCCTGGGTTGCTATATAAACATACATAATGACTATAAATAAAGGATTTACCGTTTATCAGTTGAGTGATGTCTAGTTCTTGGAAAGAACAAATCATTAGAATAATTTATTCGTGTATTTTTCCGAATGTACAACTTATCGGCCTATACATTTCCGGCATTATCTTCTTTATTAACTCGATAGTGGCAAAAGTCAATTAATCCGTTGATGTGACTTCTAAGAAAAATCACTAAACTGTGAAAACACTTCTAAAATTTTATAATTTGTTTTAATCAGGTGAAATTTTTCACAGATCACCTGTGATATTTACAAAGCTTTTCTTGAAACTGTCTAGTTAGTACATTAGTTTGTGTTCTATCTACTCTATATCACTTAAGTAGGCGAATTATTCTTAATAACTAAGAGCACAGTTACTTCATTTCACTGACTTGAATCTGTCTGATTGCAGCATTGACTGTTACAACATCAGTCGGTTACTGCTTAAACCATTTTTATCTAAATTCAAAAATCTACATTGACTGGTCATTGGAGAGTAACCAATTTCATGTCGTCTAGTCCTAAGTGTTGACAGAATCCTATCAATCATTTTATAGCATAGTCAATAAGTTAGAAGACACAGCTGTGCACTTGGATACATGTTGTAAGGTAGAAGGCAATCGCTAGGACACTTGTGCACGGATTTAGATAGTTATGTATGAGCTTCACACACTCTGACCTCAATGGTGTAATACCTCTAGCTACTTGTATTACAAATAAGTCACAACACTATTCTGCCAACATTTAAGTTTAATCCTACTTTGAGGTAAGTTTTTCAGTACAAACATGGAAGTTATTATTCTGCCAAATGTTGTTTATTTACTGTTTTCTAATTTTAAGAACTATGTTTACACAGATGAAGAGAAGCCTTTGTTGAAAACTGCTGTGAAGTCAGTAAAAATGCATTTAGTGATGCGTGATAGATCATCTGTGTCCCCCATTAATATCTTGTGATAAATAATTTTTATTTAAATTTTTGACTATCCCACTTAGTATTACTGTCTGTAGTTGAAGAAATGAATACTTGCTGAGATATCGGTAGTTATAATTGCATGTTTCTAGGGTATATCAAGTCTTCCATTTTAGTCGAATCATTAGATGTGTGTATGTCTATAGGAAACCTTCACACTTGAATCGTTGCTCACACTTCGTATCATCTCACACGATGTCAGTTAAAGTTGGCTTCTTAAATTGTTCAAATAACAGGGCAGAAAGCTTATTAGTAAAACAGAAAAACTAAGACAAGAAGTCAGATACATTATAAGCACCCTACTGATCAAAAATTACCCTCCTAAATCAGTTGGTGAATTCACTGATTCGTCACTGGGAGGTAACCAACTTCATGTTGTCTAGTCCTAAGTGCTGACCGAATTCTATCGATCATTTTGTAATGTGGCCACCAGACTGGGCAGCTCAGCATCGTGATGCACTTTCGTAGGTGTTAGTTGGATGGAGGCAATCAGCAAGCAGCTCTGGACATAGTTTTCATGCTTATTGGCACTCTTCAGCAAGGCGTCTTCAACCCAGACAGAACGGATGTCCCGCCTGAGATTCGAACCCGCATCACCCAGTGCTGAGTTGCCTGGTCTGGTAGCCACATTACAGAATGATCGATATAATCCGATCAGCAATTAGGACTAGATAACATGAATTTTGCTACCCCCCAGTAACCAATCAATGTATTTAGTCCAGTCCTACAAGTGGTCAGCCGTGGCTCGAGTAGCTCAGTGGTGACGCCGCTGACTACAACACTGCGTGACGCTGGTCCGGAACTTAGGCAGGACATCAGTCACGTTAGGGTTGCAGGTTCTCCTGACTGATGGGTGCCAACAATCATGAAACCTACGTCCACAGCTTTCTGCCAATTGCCCCCATCGAACTAACATCTAGTTAGTGAATTCCCTAGTAATCGTGAGAAGAATATGACTAGTATTCCTAACGCGGGTGTTAATAGTAACAATAATACTAATGGTTATAAAAATAAAAGTTGCAATATTGAGAGCAGCGAATTCAAAACCTCTACATTTTTACAGTACAAAGAAGGCAACTCAAAGACATTACATAGAATTCTCAATAAGGGTGTGATTAGACTGGCACTTAAACCTGCAAACTTACTTAGAAATAAGCTTTTTAAGTGGAAAAGTTCTACTGATCCAATTAAGAAGAATAACTTAGTTTACCAAATCCCTTGCAACGATTGCGAGGTCAAATACACAATTGAAAGTAGTCGACCAGGGTTAATTAGGCTATCCGAGCACAAAAACCTAGCTAGGTCAAAATTGGCAGATCCTAGTGATATAAGGAATCTAGAAAAAGGTTGGTCATAGCTATGCCTGCAATTACACATAACTACACAAAAGGATGGGACGGTGAAATTCATTAAAACTAACATAGATGGTAGAGACTGATAGTTAAGTCTTTGTTTATCGAATAAATGCCGAACAGATGCAACGGAAATGACTCAGCCCCTATGCCGGCTATATGAGAATTCCTACTACCCATCACAAAATGAGCGAGAAAACTAAAACTATATAAACCATGTCTAATATGAAGTTATCTTGATATGACTCTGGACAATAAATTGTGTCTGAAGCGCAATCCAGCAATTAATACTGTTCCAGTGTGTGACAGATCCAATCACCTGAAGTGAAGCTACGTTCTACCCCAGTACTCAACTTTTACGCTTGTATTAATGCATCAAGTCTCATTTTTAATTGTTTCTACATTATTCTACATTCAAAACTGGTTGTTCTTTTACTCCACTTCATTGTAATTGGTCTCATATGTATCCAACCATACCATAAATATGATCAACAAGAAATCTACAGGGCAGCTAGCTTGAAGATGAGATCATTCTTTCTTAAACTCGTGAAACAATATTTCAACAGGAGTGCCTTGATAAATAAAGTTCTTTCATAGATGCACTGAATTTGTCAAGTGATATCTAGAATTTAACTCAAATATAATGCACGAAAGTAAATATGTTAAGGACTATGTATTTAACAGTACATTTTTTCCGAAAGTGAAAATTATTTATTATTTCTTTTCAATTTATATCTTTAAAGTGTAGTTTCAGAAGGTTTGACAGAAACGAGGTCAACTGAATTCAATGTAAAAACAAGACCGAACTCTGAAGAATTACTACGTAGTGGAGAACCAAGTGAAGTGAATTGCCATGATCGCTGTATATTTCAAGTTGATTACAAGCATGGTCCTGCAAACTATGATGTCAGTTTCCATTGTTGTCAATCAGGAAATTATTCTACTCCATCTTCTTATCTAAATTCTGGAAGGGAAGGAGGTTTTTCGACCACCAACATCAATTACTATCGTTTTGACTGAAATCCAGCAACTGGAGAATTTTTCATTTGTTTCGATAAATAATTTGATGTGCACAAGAAAAACTACAGAGAAATTAGATTAAAAACAGAAACTATTCTGCTACTTTTTTATACTATTTATACTGTTTTCGCTAGAAGTTTTGCTATTCTTATTTGACTACTGAATCGTAATAAGTAGACTATTTTGGAACTAAACTTTACCATTGAAAAAGCATGGTTCTTTGAGAAGTGGTATCTTAGTAAACTCAATAACTCACTATCTCACTGAATTGAAACATTCGAAGTGATGATTAAGATACCTAATACCTGATTAGGATCTATGCGTATGATTTACTTTTGTCACGATACTTCGACGATACTACTTTATTCTAGACGAAAAAATACCATACCGTGTAAATTAATAAGAAAATAGTTCTCAAGTCTTTTGGAAAACGATATATTACTGTTTTAAACTGTTTATTAGAAATATTACACAGCGAAACAGTATCATTTGCTGGATAACGTTTCGGACAGAATTTATTCTTCATATTTCTATCAGGTAACTCCTCAACATCGAGACAAAGTTTATATATTCCTAATATTACTATACTTTCAAGCTGGTAAGACTAGATCAAGTCAGTAAGCAAATACCACTCTACTGGCAAGCTTAAACATGGTATAAAAGCAGGATACTGGTGTCCCACAAACACCTGGATTACTGAATTTTGGAAAACACATTCTGTTACACTGTTACATGTGGAAAGATATGAGAAGATGGAAACTATCAGCTAAGATCTCTTCATCATAAAAATCAAACTGACTGGTTATCCATTGTTTTCTATTGACACCAAGCTAAACAGAAAAGTACTTAATCAATTCCGTCTAAATTTTCTGATCCACATGCACCTGGCTGAGTGATTCGGATAGTCTGACATAGCAAAACCTTAGTTGGGTGGCTTGTGAATTACTATAAGAATATTTTCACAAAATCGATTAGTGTTTGGAAGATCAAAACAAAGTATTCCTGTGCGCTTTATCTGTGCAAACCTTAGCTTCTTTAGTAGAACCAAAAGATTTCATTAAAAATCGAAATTTATTTTGGAACGACACGAAAAATGAATTTACAGTTCACGTCATTGGTTAAGAGAAGTACTAAAACTTACTTTGATTGACTATGAACACTGTGGGAAGCATCACTTCTGACAAAGATTGACTAGTAATTCACAACAGAGGTAATGGAACTTTTCGGTTGTTGAAACCAAATGGTAAGCAGCTATAGGTGGTCGATTGTGGTCAGTGATTGGTGGTTAACGATGAAGTTTCTAAAACGATAAGTTGTTAGGTCAGTTGATGTGGCACTAGAGAGAACTACTAAACCTGCTTTTGGCTACATCTTATTGGTAGTCATCATGCACTGATATATCACTTAGCGGGACAATGGGAACCGAAGAACACTGGACAGCTGTTTAGTCCTAGCATAGGACTCTCCAGCAGTCCGCAACCGCAACCCTGCCAGGGATCGAACCCCTGACATTAAGGTCCCGTGGCCAGCACGTTACCATGGTGCCACGGGGTCGGAATCTAGTGGTTCATGTTTTCAAATTCTGTCAGTTCACAAGATAGTGCGACTGCCACTCAATGTTATCACGAGTATTTGTTCTTATGGCCACCAGGTTCGCCCCACTGGTCGCGACTTTTGGTTGGAACTTAGGAAATCGCGTCTCGAAGCTAGTCACCAGGGAGCACTAGTTCATTTCGACTTGGGGATCTGTGGGGATTCAGAGATTCTTCAAGTTGGTACTCATCGTCGACTGACATCAGCTATCCAGGTTTTCAATGTTCCTCCAACTGATGTCAGTTCACAATGAATACCAACCTGAAAAATCTTTAAATCCTCACAAACCCCCAAATACATTCGATTGGTCTGCACTCCACCTGAATCAGCCTTAGAAATTCGACTGCAACTGATGATGTGAAATAGTAAATAGGATTTGTAGCTCAGGAAGAAAATGACAACGGTTCAGTGTTTTCCCAGCATTCGAATTCATTCTCAGGCTTTTCATCATCAGTCTAAGTGACTTCATTAGGATTTACTTCACATAGAAGTAGTCCATTTCCAAGTTGCGATAATGCTTGTGAAGGACATTTGTTAAACATGATAGTTATTGGTTTGTCGATAAGGGTAACTCTTCCCTCTTTTTGCCAGAAGTGGACTTTTTTAACTGTTGCTATCATTTAACCTATACCGCGAAACTAATGTCTGGTTACTGATTTGCTTGACTGATTTCTAGTTTCATGCACATATTCTCTTTATCAACTTTAAAAGAATAAGAGCAAACACTGGCTCAGAACAGTATAGATCTATTCCTTTGTTTTTACGTTTTTCGTCAGCTTCTTTCAACCGAGAATACTTACAGTAACATAAAATAAAATATTGACCTACTTCAGCTCAGTAAGCTGAGTCAAAATGGGACAATGACAAAGCGAAGCAGTAGTATTTCAAATTTGGAGTCAATGTCCACTTCCATGTTGACTGCCACTTGAAAAGAATACCGTTCTCTCAGGAATTCTCTTTCGGTTTTCAGCTTACATGTCGCGGTGTTTCCTCACTGTCCAGTTGTCCCAGTTAAAACTGCAGCTGTGCTCACTTACATGGATTGATATCAGTGATGACGTATCACGTAACTGGACTGCTATCTGGCATTCATAAACCCTTTAAGCTATTCAACGTCTGGATTGACCGACTTAATGGATCCATTTCAATTGGTTTATTAAATATATCACGCAGTTAAACAGTGTTATTTACTGATGACACTTCAAGCGGAATTTTATTTCCATAGTCATATCAAAGTAACTCCACAGTTCTCAGACATAATTTATGTAGTTTTAACTCTCTTTCCCTCTTCGTGATATAGAAGAGATAATAAAAATATTTAAACCTTGTTTCACTTGTAGAGTTATTTGGTTATGACTATGGAGAACAAGTTCTGCTTATGATGACATCAGCAAATAACACTGTTTCACTGTGCGATAGTCTAATAAATCAACTGAAATGGGATTATATTCTGCCACATTGCTCAAGTTTTACTCTTATATCGATGTTGATAGTCCTTGCAGCTAACTTCTTAAGTTTTATTCGTTGGACCTTCAATAGGTAGAGGATCCTTCATCTGACATAAAATATTCTACAGGGATTTAGTTAGCTAATCTACCACGCTGCTACCGAACGGAAGAAGTAATCGGCTGATAAGTTCCACTGAGATTGTAGCAGTAATTTTCGTATATTTTTGAAGATTTTGGTCATTTCTGAGAAGGGGATTCATTTTATCTTTGATAAAATAGGGGTTGACTAGCAAGGAAAGTGCAGTTAAATCGAAGGATACCATTTATTCATCATTGTCCATCTTGAGTTCTTTTATTCTTTCCTGAAAGTGAGTTGCTGAATTGACTGATTGTTGACTTATATCGAAAATGTTTTGGTTTTTGTAAAATTTGGTTGATAAATTGACTTCTGACGCTCCCAGCAGTGACACTATTATTCGCAATGAGATATCTACTCTATGTACTTTTGACCAACCGTAGAATCAAGGTAAAACTCAACCATTTGTCTTCATTCACTGTTATTCTTCTACCATGATTTGATCAGTTTTGGTTAGAAAATATGATCTTTGAATTTGGTTATCTAGTGGTTTGAGAGGATTCTCGCTTACCAGTTTATAAATGTTTCTTTGTTGAGTATTTCTAGCACTTTTTTCATGTGATCCGCTCTGGTTATGACAACAGTTTTCCTTCCTTTTTTGCTATTAGTATTACAATGTTTTGTCTGACATAAGTGAATACAGTATTCTCTTTTCATCTTTGCTAAGATAGTGCTACTCCTTCTTGATTTTCACTAACGGTATAACTAGTTGGCGTAGTTCTGGTTGTCTTTCAGTTACTATTCCTGTGGTTTTGAATGAGAATTAAAGGGCTGCACAGAAATCTAGCATATACGCGTTCTCAGTATTGCAGTTTAATCCTTTATGGATTAGATATTGTTCTGTAGTTTTTTGCTTACTGATTTGGAGAGCCATATCGATTAGTTTCTCAGCTGCCTTGTTCCTTTTTCACCTATGGTTCTCTTTGCTATATTCACAGTAATGGTAAGACAATTTGTCGTCTATTAGTTGGTTGAAGGCAATCAGAAGGAAGCTCTGGACCTAGATTTTGCCCTTGCTAGCACTTGTCGGCAGGGCTTATCTGCAAACCCAACGGGACTGATGTCCCGCCTAGAATTCGAGTCTGCATCACCTAGGGGCGTAATCCGCGATGTTACCACTGAGCTCTCTGGATCTCGATTAGTTTGCTACAGATCTGGGCTACATACACTGATTGGTCGCTCTTCCATGACGAATCAATGTATGAGTAATCATCTCTATTCCTAGAGTTGGTTTTAATATTCGCTGTCGAATAGTAATTATTTCATTTTATTTATTGAGTCTGTTGTGTACATCCAATACCGTTGACCTTACAATTTTTCGCCCATTCATTCAACGATCTTTCATCCAGTAGGACAATATATAGTTCGTCGATATTTAACACTTAGTGACAAGACATGCCTTAGTAAACATTCCTACAAGAAGGAATTTTGTTCTTGACTGGAAGCATTCCGCTCAGTAAATTTATCTTAATCTCCAGGGTAATTAAGTATACTGTGCTCGGAAGCTTTTAATATGCATGATTAATGGCAGTGCAGTGGTTCTTATGATATTTAAGAATACTTGCCTAGAAATTATCCAAATTGAAAGGCATTGCTTCGAGTAAGGGAAAAGGTGCATGAGAGTTGTTCTGATCATTGGTCTTTCCCACTTGGACGAGGAAGAATTTCTTATGGTAGCAGCATTTAGGTCCGGTCGAATAACATGTTCTTCGCGATCCTGGAACTTTTAATCACTTCATAAATAACAGCTATCAGAAAAGCCGAACGAGAATGATCACTCTGATTTTCGAAAAATGTCAGTAGAATCTGTCAGATAACTGTCCTATGATGAGCACACTCATTTTAGATATGCTGCATGGTGCCAGTTTGATATTTGATCG